TTTTTTGGCTGCTAAAACACCTCTGTCCTGGTGATTATCCTATCCTTGATCAAGCTTTCTTATAGTTTTGGTATCTTTCCAGAGATATTTTCTGCATAACACAAGTGAATACACGTATGTATCCCTCCTCCATTCTCCATTTTAATTCCAAATGTTTCAGAAGGCCCAGCACTAAGGTGTCTGGAACTAAGACTTTCACAATCAATATTTCAAATATTGAACTTTTTTTTCTATCAAAACAAAGTATCCTTTCAAGCCCCCCCCCCCAGTGGATTGGAGGAAAAGACTGATTATGGTACATTTTCCTGCTCCAACAATTCCTGGAAGTTGGTAGCAAGTTTCATGCTGATCCATGCTCTGGTAAGCAAGGAGGGACTTGCAAGGGAGGGGACACTAATGTATAGTACTGGCAGAATTAAGAAGAACCTGTACTTGAATCTTTTCTCATTTTCCCCAGGATTTTAGCTTCCCTGTTACTAGCCAACTTTACTGACTTTTTCTTGAAGTGACAATCTGGAGATACGAAAACACTCCCAGATAACTTAAAAAACACTCAAAAAATCTCACAGAAACATACGGAAGAGATTCAGTTTGCACAGAATTGGTCTAGTCATTCTGTGAGCCACTGCAGAGAACTATTTTATGTACATTGGAGGGAAAGGAAAGCTATTCAGTAAGGAATCAATATTGCTCCAGAATCTTCCTATGACTCTTTATCTGAGAACAGTCCTCACCCACTCTGGCCACAGGGGTAGGCATGTGACCAAAGCTGGGCCAAATATAGTACGTCATGTTCTGTAGATCACAGAGACTGGCTCAAGGACAGGGTAATGAGCCAGTGTAAGTCATTGAGTCCTTCCCTAGGATTTTTCAAACCAAAGCTGAGAGAACCAGTTTTGTCTGCTGGTTATGGAATGGTTAGGATATGAGCCCAGAGCTGCCTATAGCCATCCCCGTGCCATGTGAGGAAGCCAATCTGCTCTGGGGTCTCTGACATGCAGAAAAGGAAGTAGAAATGAGAGGTTTGGGGATCCCATTTGATGGGATCCAAATCTTCGTTCTTGTTTACAAGCCTGGCTCCACCCTTACCCTTCTTAGGTTGGTTACATGTGTCAACCAACTTTTGCTTGAGCTAGTTGAAAATAAGTCTCTGTCACTTGCAGCAAAATATATTATACCTATTTAGCCCCAGCTCCATAGATCTAAGTGCCTTCTAGGTATCTCCCTTTGGATGTTCCTTGGGACTTCAAACTCATCTGTAGCAGAAGGCAGCTTTCCGTCCTTACCCATTCTACTTACCCCATTTCCTTTATTTTCTTATCTTGAGTATCAGGTCAGCATCTACTCAGCTGTCCAAGCCAGAAACCAAAGCTCTCCTAGACTTCTCCCTTTCTACTTGATCCCCATCCTTCAAGATCTAGTAGTTTCTAAGTGCTGTTCCTTTTCATAAATATTTCTCGTATCTGTTACCCTGTCTTCTATTACCTTTGAGACCCTTTCTGCTGCTTTTTCACTTCTCCCACTGTACTGAAAAGGCCAAATCTCAGAATCCTTACCCTATCTACTGTTGAATGGGGTTCCCTTCTGGTCCCAGATGATTGATCTAGCATAGTTACCATACAGGCTGGTGAGTAATATAAAAGACACGATGGCAGGAAAGCTCTCTTAAACAGGGACAGTGAAGATTAATTACACTAAGCAGGTCCTCTTCTATGAGATCTGAGTCTGAGACACATAGAGGACTACTCAGTTGTTGCAAAACAGAAGCTGAAGATATACAGGGAGAAGGCAGAGGTGATGACAAGGAGAATGTAAGCTCTCGAGTAAACAGAAAATGTGCAAGCAGAAGCTGTAATCCAAAACTACTGGGTATATTGAATGGAGGATAAAATAATTGGCTGATACGATAGAAAAAATAGGAATGAAACACCATAATGGTTGGGGACAAACTCTTGCTTTTGAGGAGGCAACAAAATAACACTAGAACTCTCTGGACTGTGCTTAGCTTTCTATTTCCTTAATTATGCATACTCCAGCCTGTGTGAAGCATGGCTGGGTGAAGCATGGCTGGATGACAGTACACTGGTGTGTGAAATTTCCTGTGAAATTTTTGTGTTCCTTAGCTGCTGCTTATCTCTATGACCTCAAGTCACAAAAACTATATACTCTAGCTATAGAACTTAGTTCCCCAACCATGTGACGCTCTGCCATCTCTCTGTTTATGTGCATATACTATTTCTTCTAACTGGAACAATTCTTCTCATCTCCTAAATGTCTCTAACTTTACTCCACTTTACTCAGCTTTGAAGACTGAGCTCAGGCTCCTCTAAGCTTTCTATAACCCAACCAAATTTAATGGTACTGCGTATTCTGTGTATTTCCACAACTAGAATATAAGCTTCTTTTGAGAGTAGAGAAACTGTTTTGTTCCCCATTGTGTCCTCATTGTCTGGTCCAGTACCCATCACAAAGCAGATACTTAATGGATGCCATTGTTTTTGTTAAAGGTCAGTTGCCTAGACTCTTTCAAAGACCAGGGAATTTAAGGGCCTCCCATTATCATCCCTCGTCCGATATATCCACTTGCAGTTGTGCCATGGTTCTTTAAAAAGGACAATGATTATACGGCTTTGTGCAGATTTCTTCAGTTCAGAATGCCCTTCTCATCCCTGTCCCCTAACTTCTTCCAAGAACAGAAGTAGGGAGACCAGAGTTATGGACTATTGCAGTTGTCCCTTGCAAGAGAGGATGATGGCCTGGACTAAGAAGTATTGGTGGAATAAGAGGTAGAGACAAAAAATTCTAGAGCTGGAACAGTCAATAAGTACTTGGTGAAGAATTGGATGAGATGACGGATGGGGGCATATCAAAAATAATTACTGGGTTTTTCTGGTTTGATCAACTGGTGTTGTATTCAGATAGGAAAGAATGGAGGAGATGCAAGTTAAGAAGTAACTAACCATTTACATACATAATCAGATTTCTTGTCTAAATTTTGCTGATATATGCTATACTTAGGGAATGGGAATACTGATTTTTTTTTGGGGGGGTGGTGTTGGGGAAAATACTTATATATATTTAATTTACCATTTTAACTATTTTTAAGTATACTGTTCAGTGGCATTAAGTACATTCACATTGTTTTATGTGTAATCATGACCACCATCCATTTCCAGAATTTTTTTCATCTTCCCAAACTGCAATTCCTTGTCCATTTCTCCCTCTCTTCCAGTCCTTGGCATCCACCATTCTACTTTTTGTCTCTATGAATCTGACTACTCTAGGTACCTCAAATAAGGGGAATCATATAGTATTTGTCCTTTTGTACTGGCTTATATCACTTAGGATAATGTCTTCAAGTTTCATCCATATTGTAGCATGTGTCAGAATCTCCTTCCTTTTTTAGGCTGAATAGTATTCCATTGTCTGTATAGACACCATTTTATTTATCCACTCATCCTTCAGTGGACACTTGGGTTGCTTCCACCTTTGGCTATTGTGAATAACACTGCCATGAACCTGAGTGTGTAAGTATCTGTTCCAGTCCTTGTTTTCGGTTCTTTTGGGTATATATCAGAAGTGGAATTGCTGGATCATATGGTAATTCTATGTTTAATTTTTGAGGAACCACCAAAGTGTTTTCCATAGCAGCTGTACCATTTTATATTCCCACCAGTAACGTACAAGGGTTCCATTTTCTCCACATCCTCCCCAACACTTTTATTATTATTTTTTTGATAATAGCCATCCTAATGGGCATGAAGTGGTATCTCATTGTGGTTTTAATTTGCATTTCCCTAATGATTAGTGACGTTGAACATATTTTCATGTGCTTATTGGCCATCTGTATATATTATTTGGAGAAATGTCTATTTAAGTCCTTGCCCTTTTTTTTTTATCTTAGTTAGAAAACATGTTGTTTATTTTGCTTATAAAGGATATAGTCTTTTTTTAAATTTTATTATGTTATGTTAATCACCATACATTGCATCATTAGTTTTTGATGTAGTGTTCCATGATTCATTGTTTGCGTATAACACCCAGTGCTCCATTCAATACATGCCCTCTTTAATACCCATCACCAGGCTAATCCATCCCCCCACCCCCCTCCATTTTTTTTTTTTAAAGATTTTATTTATTTGACAGAGAGAGACACAGCGAGCGAGGGAACACAAGCAGGGGGAGCGGGAGAGGGAGAAGCAGGCTTCCCGCTGAGCAGGGAGCCCAATGTGGGGCTCGATCCCAGGACCCTGGGATCATGACTTGAGCTGAAGGCAGATGCTTAACAACTGAGCCACCCAGGCACCCCAGTCCTTTGCCCATTTTTGAATGGAGTTATTGTTGTTGTTCAGAGTTATTCTGTAATATGAAATGGTTTCAGGAACACAACAGGTCTCTATGGCATGAAAACAAGTGTTACGATAGTATGAAAATCCTAGGGACTTTGGGAAAAGTGGCAGAAAAAGGGGAGGATGTCAAAGAAAGTTTAAGAAAAATTTTTAAAGTTTTACCTTTAGTGAAGAATTAAAAAAAGGACATTCTCAGGATTCTGAGCTCATTTTTTTTTTTTTTTAAAGATTTTATTTATTTATTTGAGACAGAGAGAATGAGAGACAGAGAGCATGAGAGGGAGGAGGGTCAGAGGGAGAAGCAGACTCCCTGCCGAGCAGGGAGCCCGATGCGGGACTCGATCCCAGGACTCCAGGATCATGACCTGAGCCGAAGGCAGTCGCTTAACCAACTGAGCCACCCAGGCGCCCTGAGCTCATTTTAGTATTGCAGTTTGGCAACCTTGTGGGTTAAATAAGCATTGCTGGGCTACCCTGAGAACCTAACTCCTATATTTAAGAACACTACTTGTATGTAAAATGCCCTGTCTTATAAATCCTCTAATTAAAAAAAAATTTTTTGGTATATAATTCATATATATGATAGCTATTTATATACTAAAATCTAAACTTGGAAAGTAAGTTAGTTGTACTAATGGATTACAGAAATAATTATTATATAATGCTTTTAATTAGGAATTTAATATTTTTCAATTACTGTAAGTTGATGTTCATGAATCATTTGTGAGATACCATTATAAAAAAATATACAGGATACAGAGCTATAGAACTAAAGCAAAATCATAATACAATTGATAGAAACATGAAAACAAAGCTGTTATCTACAGATGTAAAGAAGGATTACACAGAAATCTGTGCTGTTAACTGAAGCAGCTGGAGAAATACTATTGGCCATTTGTAACAGATAACTAATCTCCAAGAATAATACCCAGTTTAACTTATATAAATTTTATTATTTTTAAAGTAACCATAAATCTGTTGAACATGGATAAACTGTTGGATTCTGAATTTTTGGTAAAATGTTGTACCATTCAGATTAGATAAGCGACCTATATTATACATGTAAAGTGTAATATATATTTTAGATGAAATAAGACATTATTTTAAAGTATATTTAGGATTATTTTCAATGTTCTATACTCTATATTCCCTGTAAATAATTATAGTCAAGAAAACATACCATTCACTAAAAATAAAACAAGCCAACAAAAGCTTTCATTAATCTGAAACTAAAGATTAGCTTTCCATTTCTTCTCAGGATCCGTGTTGTTAACTGTGGAAAGAAAATTAGAGAGTGAAAATTTAACAACAGATAAGCAAATATAATGGATTTTAAGTTATTTTGTGGCTAGAAAAAGCATTAATTCCTAAAATAATTTTGTTGCTTAATATAAAGGTGGTATTTTTTTGTACATATAAAAGCATTGCTGAAGCTTCTACACAAAAAAGTTTTGAGCTTCTTGATTTTAAGGATTAAATTTCTATAAAGATTGTTAATTTGATGAATTAATCTAACACGAGTAAACACTTATAGAATTACTGCTTTAATATTTTTGAGTTTACTACCTTTACTATTGCTAAAACGTCTGGCTGTTCCCAAACCTTATGCGTGTGAAATTCTTTGTGGTCGGGAGAAGAGAGGCTATCTTCCCGTTACATGCCTTTGATTGTAGTTCTGGTGGGTAAGAACTGCAACCCCTAAGCAAAATTCTAATTCCTGTGGGAGCTTTAGGTTCCAATTTGTGGTCCACTGGCCTTTCACTACTAATCCTTTCTAGTGCTTGTTTCTCCATCTTACAGTGACGTTCAAGGAAGGACTCTGGTGGTTGTTGTTTTTCCTAAAAGCAAACTAGTTTTGTAAAAAAAGAATATTTTAAATGCTGGTAATAAAATAATTGAAATTTGGAAGTATACTTACATATTTTTCCTTCTTTTTTTAATTTTTTCAAGTGAAGCAAGATATTATGTTCAGCCATTTTATATAAATGCTCAGGAATAGTCTAAAAGAAAAACAAGAGTGCAAGAAGACATTTCTTTTTTAAAAAAGAATGAGTTAATCTTGTTGAAACAATTAAAACATGCAACAAAAGGAAAATTTTAACTTAAATACATTTTTATATAGGAATAATCAAAATGATTTCACCTTGTATGTGTCTTGCTTTAGGCCACTCTATTTTTATCTATATCCCTATACATAAAATAGCCTGTAAGGTCCATAAGGACAGTAACAGTGTTGGTTTTGTTCTTTACCATATACCCAGTGCTTAGCAAATGGCACATAGTAGGAACTCTGTATTTTATGAATGAATGACTAAAAATTATTCTAGATAGTTTTGATGATGCTATGGACCATTGGCCCTATGGTTTATTTACTGGGTTACATGATAATATCTTTGTACATTTCCCTTGGTTATCCTACCTCTGTCATCCTTTAGTTTTCATCTCGAAACTTCCTTAGACTTCTCTTAAATTCATGTGTACTTACATTGAGTTGTATTGTTGACTCACTTCTTACTCAACCAACTTAGCACAGCAACATCACACGTTAATGTTCCCCAAATATAAACTTCCAACCCCAAGCCCTCCCTTAAGCTCCAGTACCATATCCACCACTGTAATCTTCTAGATCTAATTAGTGAATCCTCCGCCTAAGATCCTTGAGTGGTCATGCCCAGGTTATTGGATAAAGCCCCTATTTGTTATAAGGCTTCTGTGTGATCATGCCTGTCTTTCCTGCCTCATTTCCTGGGACTCCTTTCCTGGGACCATTCACATATGCATTCTGTGCTCCAGTCATACGCAGTTTCTTTGTGGGTTTTCACATATACAATGCTCTTTTATTACTTGCAGAGCATGTCTTTCCTTCTGTCTAGAATGACTTCTTTTCTCCTGTACTTTGGCTTGGAAAATGCTTACTTCTTCAAGACTCAACTAAATAAGTTTTTAAAGCTTTTCCAGACAAGCCTCGATACCCTGCATCTTCCATCAGGTGAAATTTATTCCTCTTTCTTTTATGCTCTGATATACTGTGTAGAGGTCTTACAGGAAGCCTGGTATGATTAAAAAAAACCACGATCTGAGTATCTGACATCTCACTTTTGAGTATGTGACATCTGCTAGTTGTGTGTCTTTGGAAGTTACTTAGCTCACACTTTCTGAATCAGATTTTTTTTTTAAGTCTATTAAATTGGAATAATTGTATCTTTATGTATTGAAAATTCGAGGTGTATGAATTAAGGGCCTCAAATTACATTTGTAAGTGTAAATCAATGAGTACAGTGTCTAGCACACAATCAGGCACTCAAAAAATGATAGTATTACAATCATCTGTTGAACATGTCTGTCGTCACTAAACTATGAGTTCTTTGAAGGTAGGGATCTGTAGTCATCTTTGTATCTTAGTACCTGGTCCACCATGTGGCACAGGAAGGGCATTCAGTAAATGTTGAATGAGTAAATCTCCCTATAATACCTATGCCATTCTATACGCAACAGGTACTTGATACATATAATACAGTGAATATAGTGAATACACTCTGAATGCAGAACCAGCATTTTTAAGGGATGGACAATTGCTCGATGACTCATTTGGGAGGGTGATTTAGAGTTCTGCTGTCTGTACTTAAGTTAGGGAAAAAAAAAAAAACCCAATGTACCAATGTATAGTCTAGCGTGGCTATATTCTAGTATTATGAGGAAATGAACTCTTTCACAGAATTTAAATATTTATATTACCCCTTTGCCAATGGCACTTTTTATCTTTAGCCATTTTAACCATTCATCCCTTCCTTTTAAAACAAAGCAGACTGAGTATATGATTGTTTTTTGATAACTTGGGCCAATGGAACATTAAAGTTCTTTACTAATTACAATTGGCCCTAGGTACTTTTCAAGCTCATCTTTACAGTCTCACGTATCTTACGGCGGTACAGGTTATAGTAGTGGGAGGTGTTTTTCTTTTAAGTTTATTTATTTTTTAGTAATCTCTATACTCAAGATAGGGCTTGAACTCATGACCCCAAAATTAAGAGTCAGCACACTCTTCTGCCTGAGCCAGCCAGGTACTCTGGTAGTGAGAGTTTTTAAATCCAGGTAATCTTATTCCAGAGCCTGCATTCTTTTTTTTTTTTTAAATTTTTTTT